ATGGAATCCTCATTCAAATTAAGATGGTATCCTTTAAGGACTTAAAAAACCTCATGGAAAGGGGGGCATTCCCGGCTCGTCCTTCACGCCCTAAAGAGGGCACGAGTTGCCCCCCACAAGCACAGTCATGGCTCCAGAGCCACAGAGACCAATCTCATAATTATCTGACTTTCAGCAGAAATACTTCCAGGCTTAATAAGTAAAATACCAGAAATCCAAAATCGCGCGGCTGCGACATCATTTGAATCTTGTGGCCAGCTGCAGAAAACAGATTATTTCACAATGCCTTTTCAGCATGTTTGATTTGGGGGTGTAAACTCTAAATAATAATGGTGCATCTTTTGTCGAGACAGTGAATCTAATCAAAGTAGATAGAGTGTTAACTAGAATTCATCTGCCTCAAAGGCATTGGGAGGGTAGGGAGGGGGGTTTATTGGGGTTCTTGGTGGTGAGAAATGAGTATTGGTGAAGGGAAATGTGTTTGATAATTGCATGACCGAGACTTAAACCTGAAAGCTTTGTAGCTTTTCCCACAGTGATTCAATAAATATAAAAAAAATAATAAATAAATAAATTCTAGGGGAAAAAAAGAAAAAGGATCACAAGCCACTGTGTTGATCTACTAACGAGCCACTTAATGGGATGTGACCCACCATTTAAAAATATTTATTATAATAAAATATTCTGGAAGCCATAAAAAAATAAATAAAAAGTCCATAATAAGGTATGTATGGAATCATGAAAGACGAGTAGCCCAAACCATACAGGAAAATAAGAAACTGGGAAGTATCTCATTATCTAACTTAAAACTATACTATAAAGTCAAAGTGATCTGAATAGCATCATATTGGAATAAGACTATATTCTCTGACCAATCAGAATTTAGAACAAAAAATACCCCCAAAGACAAACCCCCACATATTTGGTCAGCTAATTTTTCACAAAGCAACTGAGAGCATGAAATGGAGTAAAGATATCCTTTTCAAATGGTTCTGGCAAATTTGAATAACCACTTATAAAATAACTAAAGCTAGAACAAAATCTTACATCTTACACAAAAATTAATTCAAAAAGGATCAAAGACTTTGAAATCTATAAAATACATTGAAGAAAATATAGGCAGAATACTCTACGTTCTGGACCTCAAAGATTCCTTTAATGGCACAGTGACGCTATCAAAGGCAACAGAATAACAAAATAAACAAATGAGACTACATAAAATTAAAGAGTTTCTGCATAGCAAAGGAAACATAGGCTAAAACAAAAAAGACAACAAACTGAATTGGAGAAAATATTTACACTCACTAACTCAGATAAACTGTTTATATCCAGGATATATAAAGTTCTCACAAAGATCAACAGGCAGATGTTACGAAAGGACTAGTCCATTAAAACATTACATTAAGCAGAGGTCAGAGAGATATTACAATGGGTAAGGATTTCGCCTTGCACACACATGATGCAGGTTGGTTCAATGTCCATAATCCCATATGATCCCCTAAGTTCCTTTAGGAGTGACCCTGAGTATGGACAGAATCAAGCACTGAGCATCATTAGGTGTGGCCTAAATTCAAATCAAAATATTACACTACATTAAAAGACCGTTAATAAAGACAGTTAAAAAATTAAGACCATATTTGAATAAACTGTTCAGAATAGGAAAACCTATATTTTCAAAACAGGGTTTGGTTATTTTCTTGGTTTTGGACTTTTGGCGACACAGAGACATGTGGAGGGCTTACTCATAACCTTGCACTCAGGGATAATTCCTGGTGAAGCTCATGAGTTGCATGGGGCGCTAGGATTGAACTAAGGCTAGCAGCACACCCTTCCTGCTATGTAACATCTTTCCATCTCAGGAAGAGATAAGATTAAGAGGAGGTCACCAATAAGTGATTCAGGATGGTGTTCTAAAATTATCAGTGGGAACAGAGATAAAACTTAGTGGAAAACTAAACTCAATCAATTGAAATTTCTAAATCAGTAAACTGTACAAAGATGTAGTTATTGAGATCAATTGTATACATCAATAAAACTGTTAAAATGAGATATGCTTGGCATAATAATTTGAGTGAAGATGCTAGGCAAGACCATTATATAAAATAAATTCAATATGCCAAACACAGTAACAACAAGTCTCACAATGGAGACGTTACTGGGCCTGCTTGAGGAAATACAGAAATTAAAATATCTAAAATCAATGCTTTTAAAATCTGACATCAAAATGAAGTAATTAGAACACTCATATTGCTGATAAGCATGCAATTTGTTACAGTAAACATAAAAACATATTCTATTTCAGTTACTTGTAGACATGTATCCCTGATTTTTTGAGGTCTCCAAATGGAAGTCTCTGAGCATAGATACCTTTTGAGCATAAATGTTTCATATCTCAGGTTAGTGCTCTATGTATTATGAATATAGCACTGTGGCACTGTCCTCCCATTGTTCATTGATTTGCTCAAGCAGACACAAGTAACATATTATGAATGATTATTAGTAAATATGGCAAGATTTAGATTGGGACTACAGTTATACACCTGGCAACAAAACTTGGAATCTGTGTAATCATTAAAACTTCTGGTTGAATGTTGCACATGAAACATATGACCTCATTCTGGAACCCAGTGAGAGATTCTGGGAAGACAAGGTATGCAGTGGAGTTTTCTTCACTTTACCAATGACCAGCAAGGTGAAAACATTTAACAGGCATGTCATAAATGCAGCTGAATTGATTTGCTTGTGGCTGGAGCAATAGCACAGTGGTAGGGCATTTGCCTTGTGTGCAGCCGGCCGGGGGCCAAGCTGGGTTTGATTCCTCCTCCCCTCTTAGAGAGCCTGGCAAGCTACCAAGAGTATCTCGCCCACACAGCAAAGTCTGGCAAGCTACCCATGGTGTATTCAATATGCCAAACACAGTAACAACAAAGTCTCACAATGGAGACGTTATTGGGCCTGCTCGAGCAAATCGATGAACAACAGGAAGACAGTGCTACAGTGCTAAAGTGATGTAAGCAAAATGAGATGATCTGTCTTCATCACTGCAATTTTATATACTGAGGACTTGCTTATTTGATAATGTAATTTCTGGGGAAAAATCACTATTTCCCCCCATATTCTTTTTTTAACTATTTATTTGTTTTTTTATTTATTTTAAGGTAGACAAAAGCCACAACTATTGATACAATTATAGAATTGAAATTTATTGGGTAAAAGATCTCTAATCTCTAATATTAATATCAATATGTATAAAAAACAAGTTTTATGTGAACATTTTTTATCTCATCATGGGTTTGTTGAGCTCTTGTCCAAGAATTTACTAACCTGTTTGTTGCTAGTTTAGCCTTCTATGTTATTGTTTTTGTTTGTTGAGTTTAGTTGGCATCTATATTAATTTCCCATCTAATTAGATGTGTTTCTACTGGAATTTCAGTATGAATAATTAGGAGGTATTGTGCGGTCCAAAAGACTTCAGGTTCTATGGTATGGGCCTATGAGTTGACAAGGCAGTTTTATTACCATCAGTATAAAATTCTGATCTTTATATCCTCAAACTGTACACTTTCTTTGTTCCTAAAACAATTTCAGTTTTTTTTAATTTTGTATTTAAAAGAAATTTGTTTTGAACAGGGAAATATATTCCTCTGTCAAAAAGGCAAAGATGGGAGCTCAAATTCTAATTTTTGGAGAATCATCCATTCTCTGTTTTCCAAAAGGGTTGGACCAGTTGGCATTCCCACCAGCAGTGAAGGAGGGTCCCTTTCTCACCACATCCGCGCCAGCACCGGTTGCTTTTGTTCTTTTGGATGTGGGCCAGTCTTTGTGGGGTGAAATGATATCTCATTGTCGTTTTGATCTGCATCTCCCTGATGATTAATGATGTAGAGCATTTTCTCATATGGCTTTTAGCCATTCAGATTTCTTCTTTGTGAAAGTTTCTGTTCATTTTCTCGCCCCATTTTTTGATGGGGTTGGGTGTTTTCTTCTTGTGGAGTTCAACCAGTACCTTGTATATCCTTGATATTAACCCCTTGTCAGATGTGTATTCGGCTAATATCCTTTCCCATTCTGTAGACTGTCTTTGTATTTTGGTCACTGTTTCTTTTGAGGTACAGAAGCTTCTTGGTTTAAGTTAGTACCATTTGTCTATCTCTGTTTTCACTTGCTTGGTCAGTGGTGTGACATCTTTGAAGATACCATTGCAATACTACTCCTGGGAATATATCCCAGAGAGGCAAAAAAGTATAGACGAAGTGACATCTGCACTTGTTTGTTCATTGGAGCACTCTACAATAGCCAGAATCTGGAAAAAACCTGAGTGCCCAAGAACAGATGACTGGTTAAAGAAACTTTGGTACATTTACACAGTGGAGTACTATGTAGCTGTTAGAAAAGATGAAGTCATGAAATTTACATACAAGTGGTACTACATGGAAAGTATCATGTTAAGCGTAATGAGTCATAAAGAGCAGGATAGACACAGAAAGATTGCATTCATCTGGGGAACATAAAGTAACAAAATTAGAGACTAACACCCAGGAGTGTCGGAGATTAGTACCGAGAATTTTGCTCCATGACTTGGAGGCCAGCCACACGTGCTACGGGAAGGGGAAGCTCAGATAGAGAAGGGAGCACCAAATAAAGGGAATCGGGAGGATCCTCCCAGGATGGAAGAAGCATGCTGAAAGTAGACTATAGACCAAACATGATTGCCACTCAATGCCTCTCTTGCAAACTACAGGACCCAAAAGGAAAGAGAGAGAATAAGGGGGAATGCCCTGCCACAGAGGCAGGGTGGGATGGGGGGATGGGGTGTGGGAGCGATGATGGGACCCGTGATGGTGGAGGATGGGCGCTGGTGGAGGGATGGGTACTTAATCATTTTATGACTGAAACCCAAGCACAAAAATTTGTAAGTCTATAACTGTACCTCATGGTGTTTCACTAATAAAAAAAAAAATCATAAAATAAATAAAGGCAAAGAGATATATTGTACTTACTGTACATAGCTGTACTCTTCTTAGGTTTGTGGGACTGTACTTCCAACTTAGATTCTGGAGTAATGTCAGTTTGCTTTGGGGTGTCTTGCAAAAGCATCAGAAACACCTTTAGAAAATGAATAAAGGGAATAGAGGTTTCTTGTCATTTTGTGTCCTTTTCCACATTACTCTCTTCTTTTGCCCCAAATTCCCAATTATGTCATAATAACCATAAACCAAAATACACCTATATTTAATATTGTCACTCATTTAATCAACAATAAAAAATGCAGCCACCTAGTTCTCAGCAAGCTTGATATGTCTATCCATAAGAATACTTGTCCATCTAAAAGAATTCTTTCCAGAAGTAAGTGCACTTATATAATAAACACACTCATTTAATCAACAATAAAAAATAAAATGCATTTATATAAAACAGTCTCTACTAATGGAGAACTGGAAGTATTTCAACTTAAAAATAGTTGCAAAGGTGGGGGTAAAGCTCAGAAGTATGGTGGTGGTGGAATGACCATATTGGTCAGTTGACTAATATCTCCAATTTCAATTAATCAATATTATTCTATCCAAAAAGGAGGACTCCCAAGGTGAGCCCTCACTTGGCACATTTATAAATAAGTTAGAGCAAGAATTGTATAAAGACAAACATTCTTCTCTTAACTGATTTTCTTTTGTATCTAATCTTAAACGAAATAGTCATTTAATGTTCAAATGTACTCATGAGTAAGCATCCCAAGAGAATACAAAGATAATTTATATTGTTTTAATTTCTTATCTTTCTCTTTATCACAAGATTACCTGTGTCCGTATATTTCTGTGTGCTCACACATACTGATGCTTGTCTATATTTCTGGAATAGACATAGAATAAGGCTGAGGCTTTCCTCTCAACAATCTCACATATTGGCAGGGGAAGTAAGAATTTATAACACAACTAGCTAGAAGAATGTGAAAACGAAAGGTGAAATGCAAAGATGTGATAATAAAAATCCTATAACTGGAATTTTGTGACAGCTGACCTTAACATAAAATACACCATCCAAATATTAATATAGCTCAAAGAATGAGAACACAAGTCTTGTGCAATATGACAATGGCCATTGCAATCAGAAAATTTGTGTTCTTTCATTATTATCCTCAAGCTAGAGGTATCTTGAAGGATTAAATGGAAAGTGAAAGCAAAGATAAACAACAGGATTTCATGAGATTTAGAAGCTTCTACACTTCTATGGAAATGTTAGCCAAAATACAGACATTCCACAGACAAGGAGAACATATTTGATGACTATTCATCCATTAAAAAGTTAATATGTATGATATTTAAAATATTTGAGGAATTTTACAAGAAACAAAACATCTATCCCCATCAAAAAAATAGGAAGAAAAGATGAACAGAAAATTCCTTAAAGGAGAAATGCAGGGATGGAAAGATAGTACAGCAGGTAGGGAAATTACCTTACATGCAGTCAACTGGAGTTCAATCCTCAGCATCCCAGATGGTCCCCTGAGCAATACCAGGAGTAATTCCTGAGTGCAGATCCAGGAGTAACTCCTGAGCATTGCCAGTCTGACTCCAAAAAAAAAAATGGCCAAAAGACATAGGAAAAAGTGCTCTTGGGGCCAAAGCAATAGTACAGAGAGTAGGGCATTGGCCTTACACGTGGCCAACCCAGACAGATTCAATCCCCAGCATCCCATATGGTTCCCTGAGAACCGCCAGGAGTAATTGGTGAATGCAGAGCCAGAAGTCACCCCGGAGCATCCTTGGGTGTGACCCAAAAAGAAAAAAATAGTGCTCTTTAACACTAGTGATCAGGGAAACGCAAATCAAAACAATGAGATATCACAGTCCATCAGGGAGTCTGACACTCATCATAAACAACAACATCCAGTGCAGTGTAACGGATTCAGGCAAAAAGAGACCCTTAATCACTGCTACTGGGGATGTAGATTGGGTCATCCTTTTTAGAAGACAGCCTGGACATTCCAAAAGAAAAATTTGAGTGTCCATAGGACTAGCAATTCCACTCCTAAGAATATATCTCAATGGTCTCAAAACACAGTGTATAAAAGACTTCAGCACTCCTATGTTTATTGCATTCTATTCAGACTATCCCAAATCTGGAAATAACTCATGTCCAAGAACAGATGACTGAATAAAGAAGCTACAGTTTATAAACTCAGAGGAATACCACTTGACAGTAAGAAAAGATGAAGTCAAATATATAGATGGATCTGGAGAGTCTTAAGTGGAGTTAAGTGAACCAGACAGGAAGGGAAAAACATAGAACAATTTCTCTCATGACAGTACATAAAGAAATGTAGCAAGGGAGTAATTAATGCTCAAGGACGGTAGAAATGAAGAGTAAGAGAACTCAGTCTTTAATAGAAACCTCCTTAGTTATAATTCTCATATATAAAATGCAATTAAACTGTGGTTGAAACTTTCTCTTCAAGTTTCTCATGGAACCATGTATTTATGTCTTAGATATATCACATCTCACTTAGTGTGGGGAGTAAAAGTTCCACATTCAATTTTTAATATATTCTTTATTATCTTAAAATTGTATATAAGATAATATACAATTTTTCTTACATATTCTCTAACACAATTTAATTCAATATTTGTTCACAGGACACATATTAAAATTGTTTAGATAAAAATAGAAAGACATTTTATTTCATTTTAAAAATTACGAGGAATGTGAAATATTAATTGTTAACAGGATAAACAAAGGTTTGTTAATCTGTAACAAGTATCTTAAGATCAAAGAAAACTTGAGTAGCCACACTGAAAGTTAAGTGTAGTGTAAACATTTCACTCTTATATATACTACCATGACATATTTGATATGCAAAACACAGTAACAAGTCTCACAATGTTACTGGGCCTGCTCGAGCAAATTGATGAACAATGGGAGGACAGTGACAGATATACTACTGAGTTTGGGAAGAATACTTGTTTTGTTTGTTTTTAATATAGGTATGTGAAATATTAAGTACATATATCTTTTGTCCTTTGATTTATTTTATCTTTATCTGAGGAGACTATAATCCAATTTACTTAAACCAAATAGGATACTTTGGACTAGTATTCTTTCATATGAGAAACACAAAAGTCATTAACTACTATTCTGATTTTTAGTGGAATTAGTTCAGGATTTCCAAAAGGATAACAAATAAGGAATTGTCAAACAACTGCTATTAACTTTCAAATAAATTCATATGAAATTAATTAGAACAAAAATAATGATGAAATTAAGCCAAGTAGAAAGAATCCCTAAAGAATGCAATTAAAAAATAAGCCAGGCCAGCAAGATATCTCAAAGGATTGGAGAAAGTTATTTTAATTTAGGAGTCCCAGATTTTATCCCAAGCACTACGTGATCCTCTCAACACTGCCAAAACTAAAGAAAGAACTTAGCATTTTTTGCAGTATTTAAAAAAATATTGAAACTCTGAAAGTTTGAAGTATTTATGACAGCCCAGTGTTACCTTTCTTCTACTATCAGTCTCTCATATTGCAGGACTGAGAAATAAGAACACTAGCACCTCACTGAGTAGTGTTTGACTTCAAATTTGACCTTTGCTTAATGTGTCAGTTAAATGAGTTTTCCCTTGGCCTAGCTTTAAGGTGCATTTTGTTTAGACACCAGAGAAATCCATGAAGCAAATCTAAATTTTCTAAGACAATGAAAATACAAGCCCACAATGGAATGACTTGGTACTTTAATTTCAAAACTTGGAACACAGTATAACATAAAGGGCATTTTTTTACGTTTCCAAAAGTGGTTTTTTTAAGAAGCAGAGGATAAAGCGATGTGTAGAACTTCAGTGTTGAGCAACACAGGATTAACTGATCAATCCTCTCCAAATATAAAACTGAGCAGAACTGCCCCAACAAGACAAATGGTACCTGAAGCTTGGTTTTGTTATTTTATAAGAACTTGTGTAAGTTCTTTACTGCTGCTGTAACTACTGGCCAACACAGATTTATCATCTTAAAATTGTGGAAATGAGGGTGGGAGGGAAATTGGGACTTCAGTGGAGAAAAGGTCACACTAAGCGTGGGATTGGTGTTGGGTGGAACATTTTATTTCTGAAACAACTGCATTATGATAGCAACATTTGAAAAAAGTCTCATGTCTAAAATAAAAGTGCTGAACTCCAGGCATTGGATGTATTGGATTCTTCTTCTAGGTACCTCTAAGTCAGAAAATACTTCCACACCATTTCTGCTTCTAGTGGTCACCAATATTTCTGGTGAAATGCTCCACCCTCAATTCTCAAAGCTTACCTCTCCCATCTGTGAGTCCATTAATATACTATCATCTTCTTCATAAGACCTTTCTCTGGTACTCTTAATAGTATAGCTTTACTAAACTGAAACAGTATTTAGAAGCTGAATAGTTATTTAGCAGTGTTCACTAGAGCCAAAGATGAAATCAAAGAAATAAAAATATTCCTCAAAATTAATGAGAATAAAGATACTGTAAAGTCAGCAAAAGACAGAAGGTAAAGTGGACAATTTTGGTGTCACTAAGTTTTATTAAGAGTTTTAAACAACTCATGATTTCTCTCACAATCTCATTCTCTTTATCATTAGAGAAGATAATTATATTAATTTTAAAGAGCATCAGTGAATATTATATCAGAAAGTTCTAAAAAGTTGAATTCAAACAATTAGCAAATTAAAAAAGAAAACATAAAGATGGAAAAAATCTTTGCTACTGATACATATAATAAAGGGTTAATGTCCAAAACATATATAGAATTCAATAATTAAAAAGAAAAAATGTTAAAGAACACATTCCAGTGGTCATGGGAATAGTACCATATGTTCAATAGTAACTAATGTTCAATAAAGTACAAATCAAAATCAAAATGATCTATCACCAGATATCTCTGAGAATAACTATTATCTAAAAGGAAAAAAATAAGCAAATGAGTGTGAGCAAGGATGTGGAGAGAATAGAACTCTGCTTTGTTGATAGCACAAAGTATAATACATTTCACTTTATAGGAAAGAGTTGGAAGCATTCTCAAAAATGTACTATAGAAAGGACCAATATGATAGAATAAGAAATGGTGCTTATCTTCTGCAACCATA